ATATCTAGATTTCTGCTGGCCTCCCTGCATATCGATGCAATTCTACGAGAAACTACTATTCACCGTAGGCGGCAGAAGCTCAGCGCCATGACAGAAGGTTTAAGATTAGAAGATGTGTACGGCGCAACGCTAAAGCGGATAAAAGATCAGGGTGGGGAGAAGTCAAGACTCGGAATAGCCGCCTTGATGTGGATCTGTCACTCGGAACGACCGCTACAGGTAGATGAGCTCTGCCATGCACTTGCGGTCGAGATAGGATCAACGGATTTCTATCTTGATAACGTTCCACTGATAGGAACAGTGCTGGCCTGTTGTCAAGGACTCATCTCTGTGGACAAGGAAGCCTTGACCGTCCGGTTGATCCACTTGACCCTCCAAGAGTACCTTTCCACTCATCCCGACCTTTTCGGTAGTGCTCACTCAACAATGGCAGAAACCTGTTTGACCTATTTGAATTCGCCGCAGGTCAAGGATCTCCCCTACAATGTTATACCCAACCCCCGCGACACACCCTTTCTCGAGTATTCTTCAAAGCACTGGGGGGCTCACGCAAAAAGCCGGCTTTCAGATTGCGCGAAATCACTTGCCCTGGACCTCTTTGGCCAGTACGGTGGCCACATATCCGTTAAATTACTTTTCGGGCAACTTTGGTATCACGAAGACTCCAGTGATCTTCCCCTGTTCACTGGGCTGCACTGTGCATGCTTCTTTGGAATTGTGGAGCTTGTGGCTACTTTGATGAGTATGGAAGGTTGCGATATCAATCGAGGAGATTTTCTGGGTAATACTCCGCTTATATGGGCTGCTAGAAACGGGCACGAGGGGGTGGTGGAGTTGCTACTGGGGTGCAAAGATATCAACCCCAACATACCCGACCAATGGGGCCGAACACCGCTCTTGTGGGCTGCAAGTTCTGGGCATGAAGGAACAGTGCGTCTACTTGTAGCGCGAGAAGATGTCGACCCCGACGAACCAGATAGTGACAGCCAAACACCCCTACTTTCGGCCGCTATGAATAGGCATGAGGGGGTAGTGAAACTGCTGCTAGCGCGAGAAGATCTCAACCCCGAGAAGACTGACCGAGGGGGCCAAACGCCACTGTTGTGGGCAGCCTTTTCCGGGCATGATGGGGTGGTGAAATTACTACTGGAGCGAGAATGTGTCAACCCTGACAGACCAGATATGCAAGGCCGAACACCACTCTTGTTGGCCGCCAAGTTTGGGAACGAGGAGGTGGTGAAACTATTATTGGAAAGAGAAGGTGTCAACCCAGAAAAACTGGATAGCGACGGTCAAACACCACTCCTTGAGGCTGCCAGGTTTGGCCTGGAGGGGGTAGTGAAGCTATTACTAGCACGAGAGGATGTCAACCCTGACCAGCCAGACCGTGAGGGCCAAACGCCACTCCTAACAGCTGTCATGTTCGAGCATGAAGGGGTAGTAAAGCTCTTGTTGGGGCGGGAAGATGTCGACCCGGAGAAACCGGACCGGGAGGGCCTAACACCACTTCTTTGCGCTGCTAGGTGCGGGTGTGAGGGAGTGGTGAAGCTCTTATTGGAACGAGAATGTGTCAGCCCCGACAAGCGAGACCGATACGGCCAAACACCGCTCCTGGCGGCCGCTGCAGCCGGACATGAGGGGGTGGTGAGGCTTCTGCTAGCGCTAGAAGATGCTAAGCCCGACACTCTAGATGGCAGCGGCCGAACATCGCTTATGTTGGCTTCTCGGTTGGGGCACGAGGGGGTGGTGAAGCTGCTTCTGGCACGGGACGACGTTGACCCCATCAAGCCTGACCAACGGGGCAGAACAGCGCTCTCCTATGCCATCACTTTCAGGCATGAGAGTGTGGTAGAGCTATTACAAGCGCACACCTAAAAGCCGTGAAACCCCTAAACGGCTTAGCAGTCGGGGAGGCGACATTAGCTCCCTCAACCTAACCTCGCACACCGTCTCCGAGCACAGATAGACACCATTCCATTCCACTCTTCCCACCGAAAGAATCAGGCAGTCTCGGTGCGTACACAACTGTTGTACGGATATCCTAGTTTTTCCTTCTCTAGACGTACAAAAAACCCTGGCTAAGACCTATGGAAGGAAGATGGATCCCCCTAACGGGTGTATTTTTATCGAGTGAGGAGTTATGATCTCCTTCTACCCAGTCGTTTGGCATCCTCGGGGGAGCCAGAAAGAATCTCCTTTGTATCATATCTTCCACCCTCCAACCGCCATTTTCTACCCCCACATTTCCCCACTTTGTGTTATAGATATCTTGGGCATCCATGCTTTGTCTTCTTTTTCTCTCATTTTCCCGCTTGTCACGAATATAGAGGGATAGATTTATAGATGCACAGTACATTAAGCGTTGACTCCCAGTTACTAAGTGCAAGCACTTCAATAACGATTCTGCGGAAAACGATGCCAAGAACAGTATCTAATAATACTAACCAGATGGGCATGGTATTTCAGACAGGTGGATGGCCACGGCGTAGATTACGACAAAAATGCGCGGTCAGCATATTGGACGTGTGGAGCAGGTCTTCGCCATGCATTCAAGCCCGCCGATTTCCACTATATCCTATGAAGAATAGCGCCCCTCACAGCACCATACTCGCCCATGGGAACAAAAGGGTTACCAGTTCGTTCACCCCTTAATATGAATTCGCCCACATGCGGATCTCTCAGCCGGTCGCGGGAATGGCTTTAGCGGCGCCCCGCAGAGGCGATGACGATGGAGGGTCGGATATGCATATGTGGTCCTCAGACGGGGCAGTTAATCCGTGGGTGCTGTCGCGCTTGTCAAATTGCCATGGACGCCCTTTCTGCCGAGTAAACAATGGCAAAACATTCAGGGAATTTTTTCCCCCCCGCAGTCAACGGCCTCAGCCGCATACCAGGAATGACCATTCATTGGAAATGCCCGCTGACTGACCCTGGTATCCGAGCATCGTGGCAGGTCGGCGGGTGGTGATCGGGAGAAAAAGACTCTGTTTCGGGCCATCTCTGAATATTTGTTAATATGCAGGAAGGAAATTTCCTTCCGCTTTCGGTTCTCTAGAAGAAGCTTGAAACACGTATCTCAAGTCTAGTATTCCCTTCTTCGACATCGCACGGAGCCGACACAGTGGGTTTAAAGACGCATTCTGTCAAGTGCTAAGTATCACCACCTAGCCCGGGATCAGTTGCGCCAAAGAGATTTCTGCGCCGTAAGAACTCGAATAAATGGACCATGTACTATGATACCGGTATGTATCATAGTCTGAAATTTCCTCTTCCTCAGGAAAGTGGGGGGGGGGCTAAAAAAACAAAAAACCTGACCTCCCCGGGACAAACGAGAGAGGAAAAAGGGAAAAGAAAAAAACATCAGGCCTTATAGCTCCAGCACCCCTAGCATGGTCCGATTATTCGAGTTCCTACGGTACGACAACCGCATTTACAAGTGGAGTTTATCCAAATCTTTAAGAGACCCGTTTGTGCCTTCCAGAAGTTACCCACCACTCGTACCCATATATATATCCTTGCCCCCTATTAGGATAACCTCGGCTCACAACAGCGGAAACGCATTCCCGGTTTATATCGAGTGAGGATTTATGATCCATTTCAACACTAGACTCTAGCGGTGAACGCGAGGCCTGATAGAAGCTCCTTCTGATTGCCATGACACCCGTCCCAAGACTTCCCACCACTTCGGAAGACGCTATGTGGCCTTCTAAGATGGTGGCACTCCCGAAGAGTGTTACACAGTTCAACTAAAATAATAGCCCAACAAAAAGTTTAGCATGCATGGTAAGGAAAAGCTGCAATAAAACACTCAATTCTATGACGAAAAAGCTTTTATTGCTTTTGTCATATGTTCTGATCCTTCGCTTCCTTCTGCATTTGCTCTGAGATTCTTCCCACTGCTTTTTGACTCTCTTCTTAGAAGTTTTCTCCGCACTACCTATTAGATCTTATGCCGTTTCTACGGTCTTTTATAGCAGAAGTTCTAATAATTTTGCGAGCCGAGACAATACAAGTTACTTAAGGATAGTTTGAGGCATGGGGTATGATCCATCGTATGTGATCTAGATGACAATATCTGAATATGTATAGATTATACATATCAGAAAAGGAACAAGGCCTGAACAGGAGAAAGGCGAAACAGGCAGGAAGGACAAACTTGAACCATGGTCACAATGTTATTAGCTCCACATTTGGTATCCTCCTAGTTAATACTCCTACTGACAGTTTCCATTGATTAATTCTATTGGTCAATTTATTCCTAGTGCAACACGTGATCATGACGAAAACTGTCAACGTAAAGTCGCGGTTATTACCTTTGAATCCCCTTATGATACTTGTCGAAAACGTCGGCGATATCATACACTGTAGCAATAGCTTTGTTCAGCCGTAATTCAGGTAGAGCTGATAGTGCAAATCCCCCCCTCTCCCCTTCCAGGAAGCCCAGATCCCAATTGCCGACGACCACGGGTAGGGTTTCGAGAAGCCCAACTCGTTGTGGCAATTAGTCATTATACGGTAAGTTTCTTTTACATTTAAGCTACAGAGCGTGGGTATGATAGTATGGTGGGGGACAGTATTAGCGATATTAGAGCAGGTTTGGACGGAATTCCTATAATCACCAAAAACTATTACTAAAAGAGGCTACTCCAGGTTGTGATATATTTGACATCCTAATCTATTATTGTGCCGGCATTGCGATATCTGTGCTGAATGTATCCGCTCTGAGTTTTGCTCCGGCCTCCCGGGCTCACTGGTCTTCAGCTGTTAGGGCCGCGTTGTCGCCGTAGACCCGTAGCAAGGCCGCGGACCTGAAGGATCATCTCTTCCAATTTTAGGGATCACCCCGAGGACGCCCAATAACATTATCCCTCATCCTAGCCAATATATCCCCTTGTATGGCCTAGCCTGGAGGCATTCGTAGGAACAAACACATCGATCAAGACCACCGTGGATCACTGCCCGCGCGTCTAACACCACACATAACTACACCAAAAATCGCGTTCACTCAAGATCTCTCCACAATGAAGAAGGATCTGCATTTATTTAAAGATACCCACAACCGAAAAAAGGACACAAGAAAAAGAGAGAAACACCCAGTTTTAGTTTCCATTTTTAGCGCTTTTTCGCAGCGGCCTCCTTGAGAACCTATACCCCGATTCCGGTCAGCACGCTTGCAAGTTGGGAGGAGAGAGGGAGGATAATGACCTTCTTCACAATCTTCTGCTCCTCAATCAAGAACGCACGGACAACGCGGTCCTTTACACAATTTGCACAACGAGATCCACCGTAGGCACGCTGGACGGTCTTGGTAGGCTTGGACACTTGGGAGTATTCACGAGGACGGAGAGCGGGGATCTGTGGGATATTTGTCAGTTGTTGTCTCTTCCTCAAAACTCCAACTCGAATATTCTGCGATCCCGGGGCAGTGGTGCTGGTAGTGCTAGTCGGCCGGTTGAGGAAAAAATTCCAACATAATCACTCCATCACCCAATTCCAGCATCCACCAGCATCCCACCTCACAGAAATCCCCAATCGAGCGAGTAACACCATCCCATCACCACTACCACAGCCACTGCCAATCGTCTAGAAGACACAAACATAGACAAGTCAAGGCAAACTCACGCCAGGAAGTTTAATCCCACAGTCACCACATTTCGGTGGGCTCCCTCTCTTCTTAATGTGAAGGTAGCGAAGCTTTCCCCCGGGAGTTTTAATAACACGGACCCTATTGCTGCGAGTATTGTACCTAAATAGCCCTCCTACAGTCAGTCCCTGAGTCCAAACCCTCCGATGTCGTCCCGGTGTGTGATGGGAACAAGAAAAAAACTTACGGATTCCTCCGTCTCTAAATCCAAGTCAGCGCTTCATGCAGGAAAAAAACTCATCCAGAGGGAAAAAATAACATACATAGGTCAATCTAGTAGAAACCATTGCGTCCGGTTATCGTCGTGGCAAAATTTGTCGTTTGGGTAGTTCGTCGGTCGGTCGTCGTCGCCCCTGGTCGTTGGTTGGTGTGGTTTATGGAGTAAAATTGGAAAGAGTGGAATAGTATCCGAGTGGTGTGTGTACCAATTTAGCTCGAGGAGAATTGGCAGTCATAGGGTTTGCCCGGTTGTGGCTGGTAAATGAGGCTAGTGCTTCGCCACACAGCCCTAGCCCAGGAGGAAGACTGAGGTTACACAAATACTTCGTGCCGGGGCCTATCATACGGTAGGGTACCGTACTGTACTCATTCTAGTATGATACTTGGGATCTAAAATGTATCCTTCCTTAACTAGAAGTGAATCGCTAGATTTTCAAACTGAGATCACTGCGCTCGAGTATTCTATCATCTCTTGGGTGCTCTGGAGGGCAAAGGACTTTTGGTCGTAATAGCGAAACAACCCTGTACGCGAATACCGTACTCGTACAAGTACCATGGCTAATTTTAGCTACAAACATTATTATGATCATATCTACGCTCATTATCACTGAAGAATGCTGAGGTGGCACCCCTTAGTCATCTCGGTCATGGACGCGGGCGCAACATTTTCCACCCGATCACTTGGTCTAGGAGATAAACTACCAATTACCAGTACGAGTATCGTTGTGCCTTAGGATCAACGCATGATACCGGTATCATACAAGTATCATACACCAGGCTCCAATAAACAAACTTCAACTTTAGTCTACCGGTACCCTTCAATCCAGCCCCAAACTCCTCCGCCCACTCCCCCCTCCACAGCCAACCCAATCCTATAGAATCTCTCGCCCTACAACCCCATCCGCACCGCAGATCCCGCCCAAAACGCCCCTGATCTACGCCCCAATAAGCCAAAGGCTCGAAAGTAAAAGACCTCTTCCAAAATCCCCTTCTCCCCACCATGTCATCCCTAAAATTCTTACACGGATCCAGGAACATAAAACCCACCCGTCCTCTCCCTTTTCATCTTCGCCCTCCTTTTCATTCATTCCTGTTGGTGGTGCTTTTCCATAAGTGCGCTAACAACAGGATCAGCACCTGGCAGCAGTCCCCCCTCCCACCTCCGGCCTCAAGCTCCTTCACAAGCAGACCTGTTGCAGCAACGCAACAACCGATTTCCCGCGAGCACGAGAGCTAGACCTGTTCCCGGATCCCTTACATTTGTATTCACTTCCGACGTTGTTGTTACTGTTTCTGTCGTTAGAGGAGACTTTTGGATTGAACAATCTGAGCTGGAGGGGCTATTCTACTGTTATCACAGCTACTACCACCACCACCACCAACCACAGCCAGTACGATAAGGCAGAAGGCAACGGCGGCAGGAATGAGTAAGGGCATCATGGAAAACAGCACGAGTTCCGGTGGCATCGCCACCGCTACTACAACCGCGACTAACTCTACATCCCCATCTTTACAAAAGGTAGACGCGGAGCAAAATTCCCAGACCTCCACCGCTGCTCTCGCCCCACCAGAAGAATCTGGAGAAGACCTATACACAATCTGCACCCGCCTCTCACAGAAGGTACACCGCTTTTTGGAAACCGACTTCTCTAGTGAACTCTTAAAAGGTGTGCAACGCCAGACGGCCATTTCCCTAGGCGTGATTGAGGAGGCTTTACAGCGGTATAAGTACCTTTCCCCTACCCCCCATCCGTCCCCCTAATACTAAAACTTTTTTAACAGATTAGAGAACCTCTCCATATCCTTCAATGGTGGCAAGGACTGTCTCGTCCTCCTAATACTCTTCCTCGCTTCTCTCCCCCCGCACCTAGCTCCCCCCCCCAAATCTGCCCCCAACGCTTCAGGGGAGAGTGGAGAAGAAAAGATAAACTCAGTATATGTAACAACAACCCACCCCTTCCCACAAGTCGATGCCTTCGTGCAAACCTGCATCACAACCTACCACCTCTCCCTAACTCGCTACTCCCAGTCAATGAAGTCATCCTTTGAACGCTATCTGCAGGAAAATCCAAACGTAGAGGCGATATTCGTGGGCACAAGGAGGACAGACCCGCACGGAGAGTTTTTGTCGCACTTTGACGTTACGGATCACGGATGGCCAAAGTTCATGAGGGTGCATCCGGTGGTGGACTGGGGGTACAGAGAAGTTTGGGGGGTATTTATCCTTTTTTCCCCTCGGAATTGCGCGCAGAAAGCAGTCGCACTAATTGTGGGTGTGACTGGGGAATAGTTTCTCCGGGAATTGCAGATCCCGTATTGCGTGCTTTATGATATGGGGTATACGTCGCTCGGTGGGACTAAGGATACGCACCCTAATCCGGCGCTTTTGGAGGATGGGACAGAGGTGCTGGAGGGCGAATGCGGGGAGAGAAAACGGAGGTTCAGACCCGCGTACGAACTTGTGGAGGACGGGCAAGAAAGGTTGGGTAGGGACCGGTAGAGGCTCCCCCCTTTTTTTTGTTTATGATAGATACTAGAGAAGAGGGGGAGGGGTGGGTGGTCCAACGGGGGGGTAGCATGTCTAGATTTTCTTTCCCTATTTGATTTTAAGGGGTTTGAAGGGTTTCATTTCGATGGTTAGGGTAAACCTATTAGACCTTAGAGGTATGATACGATCGATACGCAATTGTGCGGGCTACCTATGACGATATGGGCGGATCTAGGCTCTATAAACTTGGTGGTTTCTTTTTTCTTCCCCTTTTCTCTTCCACCCATTTCTCATGCGTCTTGCACTCTACTGTACTACCACCCCTTCCCCCGCAGCTAGATTTAGAACTATCTCACTATAAAAGGTAGAAGACTCGACTATCATATCATATCATGCCGCAATCTACGTCGCAAGTACAGCATAAACCAAACCCCATCCATACCAGCGGATCCACAAACCACACCAGAACAGCACCACCACCACCACCGCACAACACCTCGCCGAGCGAAAACCCCCAGACACTCCCCCACCAGATCGCAACACAAAGGTAGCGTGAGGGATCGCATACTCCCCCCCCCCCACCCAAAAAGCAAAACAAAAAGAGAGAAGAGCAACCGCTCAATCTTGAGTAGCAGATAATCTCAAATGCATTACCCACGCACAACCCCACTTTCCAATCCTCATCTAATCCCGCCCCCCTTCCTTCCGACGGTCATGCATCGAACGGCTTTTACCGCACCCGGGGAATGTGGTATCATACTCCGACTAATATCGGCACTTCAGTCTTACCAGAGGATGTCGGACGAGCACGTACGCTTCACATCTTTGTTTTGGGGGGTGACTGTGTGTGTGTGTGTGTGTCTGGCCTGTGCGGTGGGTGAGGTTGAATCAACTTGAATGTCGAGTGATGGTATATGATCCACTGTTGGGGTTTTATGGTATTACTCGTGGGGTGGTATTATGCGTTTGGAAGTGCTTGTGTGGGTGCGAAGTCTGTTTGTGGGAGTTTGGTTTGGTTTAAGAGGGGAGGGGGGTATGCTTTGTGTGGGTAAACTGGGTCATTGGCCAAGCCAAGTACCGTAGCGCGTGTATGGTGAGCGTCATGATCAGGGGATCATCGAGTAAGAAGGCGACTCCAGAGTGAAATAGATATGATAAGTTATAACTTAGTTCGGCTACGATAACTTAAAGAAGGGACCGAAAAAGTAAAGGGTATGCTGGAAGGTAAAAAAAAAAGCCATGAATACAGCGAAATCAAACTCCCTCAATAAAATAAAGTAAAATGAAATAAAAAACACCGCCCCTTCTCCCCCCCTCTATCTGTTCTAACACAACTAGTGCTGCTTCTTAAACCCTCCAACCACATCCGCCACCAAAAACTCCATCTCTAGACCCGCCTCTTTATACACCGTCTGGGTCAAAATCTGCGTACGTCGGTGCACATCTATAAACTCTTTCTCCAGCGCGGCCAGGATACGGTCCACCAACACGGCATCATCATCCCCGCCGTCTGCAGCAAAATGCTTGTCAACCCTCTTCCTCAGTGTCTCGATACCACGGCGGATTTCCTTCCCGTCGTGATGCGTTAGCGCCTTCTTGAAGACTTGTCTCGAGTGGGATTGGCGCGAGGGGATGTCGTCCGCGCCGTTCCGCTGTATGACTTCCACGCTCTCGACGAAATCTAAGAGTTTGCCTAGCGGACGACGAATGACGGAGGAGGTGTAGAGGCCAAGGTGTTCGGCGAGATCGCGTTCCGCGCGAGTCTTGAAGAGCGTGAGAATGGGGTTTGTGGTGTTCAAGGGCAGTTCTTCCAGGTAGTGGTGCATGTTCTCGATCATCATTATGTGGTAGTTTAGCTGCTCCTTGTCTTCTGGGTCGAGACTGGAGCTTGTGACTGTCGGGCTCTCCTTCGCAATTGCGTGCAGAGATTCAAACATGGCTTTATTAATACGCTCGTAGCCGTCATTGACTAGGTCACGGATGTCAAGGTCTGTGGAGGACCCGGGGACCTCAGCGGGGAGTTGATCCTCGATTCTGCTAGCAAAGGACTGCGTGGAGTGTTAATATGGGGGCGTTCAAAATGGTCCATGGGCGGTCACTCACTGGGAACACCTTCATAAATGGAATAACGCCCTTTCTCTTCTTAATCTTAACCTTTTTCTCTTCAATGGCCTTGACCTGATCATCCAGAAACCTAGAAAACAACCCTGCAAGACGATCGTGCAATTTCTGCAACATCTTGAGCAAGAACTCCTGATCCGTATCTAGGAGAGCTGCCATCTTCGTCTCAAGTGCATACAGCACACCAACGCCCTGTAAAGGGTCCATTCTAATAGCCCACTCAATAAGACTCTGCAAATCCTGGGATAAGAACCCAAACAGCTCCGTCATAAAATCCGACACCATCTTCGCCTTCGCCTTGTCCGTCTCAGCAGGCTTCAACCCGCTGAGATCCCTAATCTTCCGGTGCTCCGCCGCCGGCGAGTTCGCGAGAAACTCAGAAAAGTCTTGTGGCAGCTGTGACGACATTTGGAAGAACTCAACCACGAAATTCTGCTCTCTTAGTATTAGGTTATACATCTCTGCCAGGGCTCCTGCGAAAGCCTCATGTGAATTGATTATTCCATCTTGATTCTTGTTTTTGGAGTGGTCACTGGTTGGCGACCTGATTTTTGCCAAGGTTTGCGACCGTTTGACGGTCAATTTTCGAGCAGCCGTTACAGCGACATTGTCAGCCTCTTTCTCTTGCGCGGTGAAGACTGTTCTAACGTTAGCACCCAAAGATTTGCCTTTGATGCAGGCGGGTAATTTACGTAGATCTACTTCATCCGAGATGGGCTTTTTGGTGATCTTCTTCCACGCTAGCACGTGCTCCCTGAATTCGTCCTGGAATAAGCCTGAGACGGGTTTCTCGTAGAGCTTTTGCAACCCGTAGTATTCCTCCAAGTCAGCGTCTTTGGTAAAGGCAATTAATCCAGAGAATTTGTAAAGAGCCATATAGGCGCTATCGTGTCCTAGCAATCTTGGTTGCCCAGGACTCATCGGACTGTTCTTCGAGTTCTTTGCAAGCTCGACGACCTCTGCCCCGAATTTGATGGTCATGAATTGTTTCATTCTTGCCAGGAATAACTGGGCATCCTTTTGATACCCCTCCTTTCGCTCTTGAAGAGCCTTCATAGAGCCAATGCCCTCATCACTCCAGGAACCTCTTCGGCCATCCCCGACAGGTGACTCGGGAGCATGTCGCGCCATCTTAGGGTCAATAATTGTCATCGCCTTATAAAGAGCAAGCAGAGTGTCCTCAATAGACTGTAGAGCTTGAGGGGAGTCTAACGGTCCATATTTGAGCACCTCAAGTTGTTGCGGCACAATGGATATGATAGACATGAGATTCTGCAGCTCACGCTGCAAGGTCTTCTGGTTAGCAGTTTGGACTTGGAGGCCTTGGGACTGGTTTTCGATGTGAGAGATGTCATCATTCAAGCTCTATATTTGTTAGTGTGAATACCTAAAAATAATGGCAGAGGGCTATGCTCACGGTTAGTTCAACGGCATATAGAGTCAACAGTGAATCCATCTCATCACATTCCTGAATCGCCTTATCAAGGAGGCTGGATAACTCCTCAATCCTGGAATCGCCATCAGTATTCACGATAACATCCTTAGCCTCCACCTCCGCAATATCTTTGCGAATCTTTGTCTCCAGAGCATCGACCTTCCCTTGTGGATCCCAATTGAATTCTCTTAACAGGTCTTCAATATCAACAGTCACCCGCGAAGTATCTACATCATTTAGATAAGAGGATTTGACCGATTTACGCTTCCTACCCTTAGTATTTGGTGATCGCGATCTACTTCTCTCACCCCGTTCGCCAACATCACCTGGTCCATCTGGCGATGTGGACCTCCCCGAGGCCGTAGGAATTTCCAATGAATCATGCTTTGGCCGGCCAGGGGACGCGTTTCGCGGTGTAGGGGAAGACAATACCGGAGGTTTGTCTTTAGGTGTAAGAGTAGCTCTCCGAACTTCGCTTCTTAGCGGTGGCTCCATTTGTTTTTCTTGAGACCTCTGGTTGGATGATGGTGGCGGGAGATCACGAGTTCTGGAAGGTGAACGTCTACGTTCACCCGGCGCACCTGCGGTACCATATGACCCATTCCCACCACGTGCGTCCCGATCCTTGCGCTCTTCTGGATATTTGATCTTTGGCACCTCCTCCTGTCTACCCGGATCCTGAGAGGGTGTTCTGGACATGGCGGTCGGTGTTGTAGGAGTTTTTGGTCGCTGCCTTCGGTCTCCCATCATTCCTCCTGCAGCGTATGTATTTGCTGCCAAGCGGAATTGCGACGCTACGTCTTTGCTGGACATTTTCTTGGCTACACCACGTGCGTCAATCAGTAGAGAAGGCTCGGGGGGAGCTGCTGGAGGAGGTGGTCCTCTATTACCACCGCCGTAGGGATACTGGTCTATAGCCTCTCGCGATTGGTGACTAGAAGCGGAAGGGGTACGGAACATTCTCTCAGACGATGGCATACGACGAATTCCTCGTTCGTCCTCTACAGGAGCTCCCCTGGTCCCAGACCGATCCCTACCAGACCTCGAAGATCCATCCGATGGCCGCCTTCCTGGTCCTTGTGGAGGTATAGGGGGAGGTGAAGGATCGCCGAGAGCTGCTCCTGAAGCGGTCGAGTACGCTGAAGCTCCAGATATATTCCGACTCCCGGGGGCCAAATCGGGCGGTCTTCTACTACTACTTGGAAGGGGATCACTTGACTGCGATGGTCGTAAAGGGCCGGGGCCAGTGCGAAGTCCGTCAATCCCCTTATTCCTTGGCGATGGTTGTCTTCCTGGTGATGCCATATTATCCATAGAGACAGCTGAGGTGAGATTGCGAAGGGGTGTCGGTTTGAGTGACGAAGAAAACTGTGAGGGACCCGGAGACACAGGCGAGGGACCAGCTGGCGAAGCTCCCCCTGTATCATCCCTCTGACTTTCCTGCAGAGAAGCCGCACCACCCAACATCTTATCGACCTCTGTCCCTCCAAAACCGATCAAAGTTGGAATTTTCCCGCCCGTGTACTTTTTGTAAATTTTAAGCAGCGACGAGATAAAAAAATCCTTCTCTTTACTCGAATTGGCTTGCCAATAGTAAGGTTTAATAATAGTGACAGTGAATCCCTTCTCGAACGGTGCGATGTGATTCTCTATCTCAGACAAGTCATCCAAATTCCATGTCTTTCCAATCTGGAAGCCACCGTTCGGATTCTCACGAGCTTTGTGCATGCGAACTCGCCCAGTCTTCCGCACGGCAACGACAATCACCCTGGACTTTTTCTGATCGCGAGGGCCATCTGCTAGCGGTGGGGACGATGGGGAGGCTCCATCCTCGATAACTCTGCAATGCGTGATGTAAGATTCTAGGACTAGCACACGCGAGCGGGAAAGAGACGAGCCGCGAGCATCAGTTCATCCGTAAACAAGCAGAGGAGAAAGGCGACCATTAACGTACGAGCACCATCGACATCAGGTTTTGAAAAGCACGAAGCAGTGATCCGCCTCTTCTCATCTTCAAATTGTCGAGCTTTAGCACCGGCAGCTGTGGGAGGAGGTCCAGCTGCGCCAGGGCCCGGGGCTCGGTTCGCTTGAAATTGGTCTGCCATGGTGGCGACGAGGACGGCGTGTTGATGCGTGGGTAGGGCAGAGAGGGTATTGCTCGAGTACTCGTATTGGAAGAAGAAAGGGGAGCTGTCTCCAAGTAGGGGCAGATCTCGGAGACTCTGTGTGTGGAGCCGTATGCAGTCAGGCTTCGCAGGTCAACGTTTGAAGGTTGCAACAGAAGTGTCCCTAGAGGCAGGAAGCAAGGCAAGGTATGCCTCAAGTCGCCAACCAGCCTCAGGGGTCCGACGGAGGGTTGGGGCGATCATGAAAGTGAATATGGTAGAATAATAGTCTTTAGAGCGGGATGGTATTACACGGAATTCACAATCTATGAAGGTTTAGCGATGGCTGTCTTGCATCCTATACATGTGAGGAATTGTTTGGGACGCAGGTGGGACGAACAGGCCGGTGGTTTAACCGTGGTTAGGAAACATGAAGCCACAGCACCGGCACAAGCCACAACGACAATCTCGACCTGACACTTCCCCCGACCACCGCCACTTGACTTGCGGGCTTGAATTATGGTGCTGAGCATCAACCTGGAACGGTCGGATTCGGGGGGGGATACCGGTACAAGCACTAGTACTATCCGACGATCCTAAAGCAGAGCTTACATGTTCCACCACGCACGGTAGCTCTGCCGTCTTTCTTGTGTTATTTGGAATTTGCACTGAAAGTTCATGTCGTACCTGACTATTGATCTGACTGGGACTCCCCGCCCTGCCACAGCTCACCCGAAGCGCCAACACCGGGAAGTGACAAATAATTTCGATTGTGGGGACTTTCATCGTGATACCCACCTATATGATACCCGTACCGGCACTCGTAGAGGGCAACAACACAGTAAGACAAATTCTTTGATAGCGGGAAGAGATATCAGATCACACGTCCATAGCCTCGGCCCAGTCTCGGCAAACAACCCTCCGACCTCCAGGCGCAAATGTTCTCGCACCGCACGAGCATTGTACCGGTACCCCAGTACTCGAGTACCCGCTGCCCGCATTACAAGTACCTGGTACTCGAGTACTCGTAACCTATCATACTCAGCCCCCTTCCTCCTGGAAACCTCCGCGAATAATGCTCCAGGTATGATGGTTGTCGCACAGACACTTCTTATGACGCAATCCGCTGTATCATAGCATTCCAAATCCTCCTCCATTAATTTACTCCCATCTGTAACATGGTCTGTTGGACCTAAATTATCCCTTCCAATTCCTCTAACAGGTGCAAACACAACTAATCCCGGCCACAGATCCCGCCCCCCCATCTCTATATAACCTTCACACCCTTGACACCGACAAACTGGCCATCATCTCAACTGGAATCCTCTCCTTCTTCCTCCTAACGCTCACGACAACGTTAATGTTCACATCTCTCCTCCCTCGCTTCTTCCGCCTCTTCTCAGCCAGCAAATTCACCTTGGGTCCTCTCGGCGGCAACATGTCCCTCCCGGAGACCACCGAAAAAGCAACATTCGCCGCTGGGTAGATATACCCTTCCGTCCCCGCTGGCATTTCAATACTAACAAAAATGTGGGGGAAAAAGGTGCTTCTGGGGTGTCGAACATCTCTTCCGCAAACACTTTACAGGCAAAGGCCTGTTGGATGCTCGAGTCGGCTACATAGGTGGGGACACCGCACACCCAACCTACCGTTCCGTTTGTTCCGGGACAACCGGCCGTATGTACCTACTGACGTCCCCTTCTCACTCCCCATACCGCTAACATTACCAGATGCCGAGGCGCTCCAAGTTCTCTATAACCCTTCAGAAGTCACCTACGAGAAACTTCTAGAATTCTTCTTCCAGATGCACGACCCAACAACGGTGGATCGCCAGGGGCCAGACGTGGGATCCCAGTATCGCTCGGCGATATTCTTTCACAATGACAAGCAGGAGGAAGCTGCCAAAGCGGTGCTGGAGAAAGTTACGAAGCAGTGGTATAAGACCGACATGGCGACTCAGGTGATCCCCGCTGGGGAGTGGTGGGATGCAGAGGATTATCATCAACTTTATTTGGATAATAGTGAGTTTTCCCATCTGACATTTGATCCTCGATGTGAGGGAGAGGGAGAAGGATACTAACAGCGGAGCGGCAGATCCAGGAGGCTATGAGTGTCCTTCGCAGTAAGTTTCTTCTCCTGATAGTCTGCTTGTTTGCTGGAAGAGGTGCTGAAAAGGGTGTAGCTATCTGCGGACCTTTCCACCGCTCGCTTGATTGGTTAGGCGCAAGTGTCGAATTGGTGGATAGCTGGGTTACGTGAGGTTTAGTGCCAGAATGGAGACAATAAGGGGTCTTTAGCGTTGAAGTCCGAGTTTTGATTTGTACACGAGTGATTTTTCATGAATTTCGGACATCGTTAGTGTGTTGCATAATATGAAAGGCTTCGATAAACAGAAAATTTTGGAAGAAATGCTCGAGCACTCCTTAGCTACAGCAACTGGATAGATCCGGGAGAGGAAGGTGGCGGGGGCTAGGTTTAGGCCTCGATCCTGTTAGTGATGGAGAAACGAGAAGAATTAGTGATTATTCATGAAGCGGCGAGCCACTGAACACAACAAGACAGCGCCTCCTTCCCCAGCCCAGAGGCCAAGCCCGCCAATACACTCGCCTGTTCAGCGGAAAGGAGTCTTCCACCCCTCTTTCATCATCCTTCAACGGCACCTCTCGGAATAGCCCAAAGATAATCAGAGCTTCTACATAGTCTTATGATCTGAGGCCTCCCCTTTATCATACAACATGGGTACGTCGTGGCCGGTTTTGTTTAGAGGGGGGGGGTTGTGTGGGGATTTTTTGTTTCAAGAAGCGAGTAGGATGTCATATACCATACCTATTCGAGTATGATACTGCCAAATATTCTCCTTTCACGGGAGATTGGGGGCTTGCTTTCCCGTGCTAGCTAATACTGCGTTAGTTTTACAGCTAGGGGAGGTGGTGGGCGTTCAGTGTTTCCTTTCCGTTTTGCGACCGTTTCCCATAGTCTACAAAAATGGTGGAGAAGCGGGGCGGAACGGTCGTTGCCAAACAGGCAGGGCTTTAGTTCCCTCAGTCTCTTCAACTTTGAAAACTCCAACTTTGTATTGTAATCTTGGAAACAGAATCACCTCTCCCCTCGTATCTTATACTAATAGGGGCTTGTTTTAAGTCCTCACAACTTATCTGATATTAATAAAATTAGCGCCATAGTATTGGCAATTGTGAGGAATTTTCTGGCTAGGGGTTGTGGGGGTTTTCCCGCTACTTGAGTGCACCACGATAACCGAGAGCTTGAGATCGAGATTCAGTACCGTATTATAGCAACATAATTTTTGCACTGCAAACTCCTCTAAATTTGGAGGTACCTTTTATCTAAAGTACCCACTCAAAAATTTTCTTCCGACACCGGGTTTTACACCAAATTTGGCGAAAAACGGTCATTTTCAGACCGACAGTTCTCAACGCTACCCTGTTGAAAACACTTTAAATTCCTCCCTTAGCTAGATAATTGCTATTAATTTAAATATCTAGAAGTAGAACTGTAGAGAATCAAAGCTGTGCTTATTGTGGCCTGTGTGAAAGTGACCTAGATTTTTGTATGGGGCTCCATACAAAAAAGTACATGACAACCAATACCTCATACCTAGATGACATTTCTTCCATTTCTTTTTAATATTTAAATTTTTTATAATATCCCCTATATTATCTACAGGTTTTCCCAATGCGCTGCCAAATTTTGGCATATTCTCCTTGAAATTGTGCTGTGGGAGAGGGTGGTCGGGTTGGATACTTTTGGTGTAAAAAAGGCATCGGACGAAAACTTTTGAGCTAGTACTGTATCTACCACTACCATAATCCCTAATATTGCGCCATAGACATTTATCAAGAGAGCTCGTTACTTATGAGCGATGTAATCTAGATAGACATTAAGGCTCTAGCAAATTCTCTTAATTTTTACAGAGCGATGGTGCTGAGGGTTTGCAATATGGAGATAAACCGCAAAATTGGGGGGGGGGACGAATTTTGTCGCCACGCTCATAGCACAGTGATCGATTGACCATGGATGGCTATTGTTCAAGAAATACCGTGGACTACGGTATTATACGGTATGACGCTAGCCTTCAGCCTATCATCTTTGCCGCCCTGCCAATATTATGTCACCAACATCGCTAAGTGTCATGTCAACCAACGTTCCAAGGTAGACTATCATACTGTACAATAGACGGTCCCTGGGTCGCTTTATTATCTATTCCCATGTCTGCAGAGAAGGAGCCTATACTAATGCAGTACTTTCACGGCTTGCTTTTTTGCTCGGTTGTGGTACTGTACGAGTATTGCTCGAGTACCAATATGCGTTGAACTGCGTGCTGGATAGATAGCCAAGCTTTCGCTATCATACAATGAGGCGCCGAAACATGTGACGTCACGCCATTTATATCCCAGTGCCGGCGATTCAGAGTGCCGATACCAAACAGAACGCCGGCCGGCGGACAAGATAGATAAATCCGAATACCCCGCTTTATCACAGCACCAAATTTCCCTCGAAGCGTACCGCCATTGCAATACTCAGAGAAGGAAAACAATGCCCGCCCCACAAGTCTACCCCCTACCAGCGAGAACCCCCCTACCCTGCGCACTAGAAGTCCCCTCCCCCCCATTCCCCTTTACAAAACTCCAGCTAACCTCACTCAGGGCAGGGCTCTCCTCTCAACCCCAACCTTCAACAAAGGTTCCGCCTTTTCTGCGACTGAACGCGCAACCTTCGCCCTGGAAGGCCTGCTCCCGAGCACCGTCCAAACCCTGGACCAGCAGGTCCAGCGTGCCCATGGCCAGTACTACGCTTGCGGCAGCGATATCGCTAAGAACGCTTTCCTGACTAGTATGAAGGAGCAGAACGAGGTTCTGTATTACGCACTCCTGGCCAGGAACGTTAAGGAAATGTTGCCAGTCGTGTATACGCCAACCGAGGGGGAGGCGATTGGGAATTACTCGAGGATGTTTCGGAGGCCTGATGGTGAGTTTTTGTTTTCCCTTGCATTGATTTTTGGGGGGCGTTGGGGGGGAGAGGATTGATGAGATTTAGGGTGTTTTTTGAATGTTTTGGAGAAGGAAAAGGTTGAGAGTGTGTTGGCCGAGTGGGGGGGCGAAGGAGATGTTGATTATATTGTGGTTTCGGATGGGGAGGAGGTGAGTGATTGTCGGCCCAGTCTGGGAAGGGGAGAAGGGTTAATGCAAGGGGGGGGGGATTAGATTTTAGGGATTGGTGATCAGGGCGTTGGTGGGATCGGGATTAGTATTGCAAAGTTGGTACTTATGACATTGTGTGGTGGGGTATGTATAGTTGGCTGAGTGCACTGCGGGTTTTGGTTGAGCTAATACATTTCGGTTTGGTATCATAGCTTCATCCAAATAGGTAACATATTCATTGTTGTCCCGCGATATCATACATTGAGATGGAGGGCTGACGGCGCAGCTTAGAACCACCCCAGTAGTCCTTGACTGTGGAACAAACGTATGATAGTGTAATTTCCGATTTCACCCTCTTGAAGTCCAGACCCGATAAGATAATACTAACCAACCCCAGAACCCAGACCTCCTTAACGATGAACTCTACCTTGGCCTCCGCCAACCTCGAGTTCGCGGAAAAGAATATGGTTCCCTCCCCCCCCCCTTCGCTCTATAACCCCACCCCTTCGCTCTCACTCATGCATTTGATACTAGACGACTTTGTAGACACCTTCGTACAAGCGGTTCGCAAACTCTTCCCCAATGCCACCCTCCACTTTGAGGACTTTGGCCTAGGAAATGCAAGGAGACTTTTGGAAAAGTATCGGCCGGAAATGACCTGCCTCAACGATGACATCCAGGGAACCGCCGTTGTGACTATGGCAGCTATAACCGCTGCAGCGTGGGTGATAAAGATGCAGGTGAGTGACCTGCGGGTTTTGGTATATGGCGCTGGGACTGCAGGGACTGGTAAGGTGTATCGCCCATGGATCCAAGAATGAGTTGTTGAGGAGGGTGTGTAGGCATCGCGGATCAATTCCGCAACGCAGTAACTGAAAGTGGGAAACCTATAGAGGAGGCAGTGAGTCAAATCTGGTATTACATCTTCACCATTCCCTTAGCCTTCACCAATATGATAATATCATAATCATACTAATTTGACTTCACACCTAGGCTAGTTGACAAACAAGGCCTCCTCCTACACTCCCACTCCTCAACCCTAACCCCGGCACAAAAGCCCTATGCCCGCGCAGATTCCGACTTCGCCTCCGTCAACACAAAGGATCTATTATCCCTAGTGCGCTCCATAAAGCCCCACGTCCTAATCGGCACAAGTACGCACCCAAACTCCTTCACCGAGTCCATCGTGAAGGAAATGAGCAAACACGTGCCCAGACCCATAATCCTCCCGCTATCAAACCCCACACGCCTACACGAGGCACGCCCTTCCGATGTGCTCACATGGACGGACGGGAAAGCGCTGGTAGCGACGGGCTCGCCCTTCCCCCCCGTCACGCTTGGGAAAACCGGGAAAACCTACGACATTGCCGAGTGCAACAATGCTACCGCTTTCCCCGGTATTGGCCTCGGCACTGTGCTCTGCCGCGCAGACAGGATCTCGGATAAGATGCTGCTTGGCGCGATTAGGTGCCTTGCGGAGCACGCACCTGCACTGAAGGATCCGGATGCGCCGCTGTTGCCCGACGTGGCGGATGTTAGGGGGGTTAGTAAGGATGTAGCCTGTGCGGTTATTAGGTGTGCGGTTGAGGAGGGTCTGGCTCGGGTCGCAGGGATTCCCGAGGAGGAGGAGGGTGAAGGTGGGTTGAAGATGTGGGTAGAGATGCAGATGTGGGAGCCTGAGTATAGGCCATTGAGGAAGGTTAGGCCCGAGGAGAGTTCTAGGGCGGCACGAGGTGAGTTGGGGGTTGGTAGGAGGGCGTAGCGGGCTGTGGTGTTGTGATATCGACCTAGGTTTGGCTGGGGTTTACAAGGATTTAACTTGGCTTTAAGGAGGAACTCAGTAGGCGGGGGCGTAGACAGACAGAAATATCATACCATCACTGCTAATACCCAGCTAAAATTATCAAACCCGCAAGAGAAGAGACTGTACACAACAAAGAGGAAAGAAGAATCCCAAAGAGTTGGTGCGATTTGTGAAGGAGAAAACTACCTCAATAAACAGGCGACAACTAAATTCCTCTACACCCCCCCCAACTAATCCATCCATCGCAGGGAAGCTAATCAATCGGCGAACCCATTCCGCACGCGCTCACCGTGCTCGTTTTCCATCCCCTGTTCACGCTCTTTCCGAATACCCTAATCATGATGCTGGAAACGTTCGTACTAGGACGTATACGTACGTGTTATGACACTGGAATGCTCTGGCGCTGAAATTTTTCTCCCTGTATAAATTTCTTTCCTTCTTGTTTTTCCTTTCCTCTTCTTGCCCTCTCTTCAACCCTCAGACAGTCCAAGCGAACATCTCTACCCTCAATCCAATTTCTTCATTCCCTCCCCTCCCCTGGAGCCTCTTCCCTTCACAGTAGAAAACCCCCGATCCAATCTTCACGACCATCCTCGACACAACCGTTCTCCATTCTCAACACATGACGAATACGCATACCGAGTGACGTTCAGTGATCCATAGCGAATTCTACTCACGTATTGTCGCCAAGAATGCCCCCGTCAGCCGATATCTTGCGGGAGCCCTCACCAAATTTTCGGCTTGCGGAGGCATCCTCGGTGAAGACGGGTGAGTAGGGTAGATAATAATATGGGGTTTCAGTCGCTGCTAAGTCTCCGCTGCAGCACGCATACCCGAGGTTTTCGTTTTCCCTTTGGAAAACAGTAAAAAAGGTTCTTGGGGATAGAGGTAGGTAGGCAGGTATGGATGGCATTCATGCAGGATGTGGAGATCTGTAAGCACCAATTATATCACAATGGATTACCCCCTTCCTTTACAATTCTAGGACACGTACCGGCAAGAACACGCGGCGCTTCCGTCGTGCAGTTTCTTCAGGGCGGTGAGGGGGTCGTTGCAGGCAAGAAGGAATTTAGGGACAGTACAGAACAGTACTATCGGGCCACAGTCAAGCCATGGGCACTCGCAGCAAAGGCAACACTCCAGGACATTTCCCCCATTCCCTCTCGACCGAGGGAGGAAAACACCGACGCAGTAGCCTCAAACCCTCCATTTGACGGTACTAATCCTGAAGAGACCGGGAGATGGCTTGCTGCTCACCTTGGGTAGGGTGACAGGCACTTTTCGACCGGGAGGAGGTGGACAGGACACAGCCAGAAATACCCGAATCATCGCACAAATAAGTCCAGAAGCCGCAAGTTCACAAACCCCCCACCTAAAAAACACCTACGGTCCCGTACTGTCATGCCTGCGGATGCCCCCCCACCCCTGGTATGTTGCTCGCATCCATGTTTTAGGAAGTAATCCCTCATGTCCCCCCCTTACATCGTGTATCGTCGTAGTGCGCTTCCCTGTACTACGTTGCGATACAACCATAACTCACGCGGGCTACATTGCCAACCTTTTTTTCCCCCAACCCCAACCCCTCCATACGATAACATAGATAGGTATCAAAGGAACCAACAACGATAGAGCGATTACAAAAACAACAAGGCCAAGACACGAGATTGAAATTGAAAGGGGTGGTAGGGAAAAAAAACCCCTCATCTGCGCTAGAATGTTGTTCGAGAAGTATGATAGACAACCACAAAAAATCCCTAACCGTGCACGAGCACGCTACAATACCTCCCCCCCCGCCCACGGAAAAACCCCGTAACCTTTGCGCATGCTAGCCTTTCGAAAGGGGGACCAAACAAGCTTATCACCGACACCTTGGCGCTCTGACGGGCTGCGGTAAGGGATGGCTTTGTCCGACCTTGGAACCCCTCTAGGCTTGGTGCACTGTACTGTAGGATGGTGTGGTGTGGGTGTAGGGGTGCCGCGTGGTTGGCGGGGGATACTCGAGTGGGGTGGGGGGATCTGGATACCGGTAGTTGGTTCTTATCAGATTATCGGATGTCTTTTTTTTTTCTTTTTTCTTTTTTTTGTTGTACGATACAAGTACTCTTATATCATAAGGTGTTATATAGTAAAGGTGGTGGTGGGTGGTGTGGGATGCGATACTGATAGAAGCACAGTCGGGTGATTCCCGGGTGCTGTGGGTGATTCCCGGGCGCTGTGGGTGTGGAGAGGTGGGGGATTTTCTCGGGGTTGGCTTCTTGCATCTATCTATCATACTCGAGTACTCGTACAGTATCATACGGATGGGGGAGGGAGGAGGGAGGCTACAGTTTGGAAAGGCAAAGGATTTTTGCTGTATGATGTGTGATAAATTTTTGTGACCCTTCCATTTTTTTTTTGCTCTCTGGGGTGCAATTGTCAAATAAAAGTGCGACAGATATGAGCGGGAGAGAGTGGCACTTGTACATCTGTTAGTGCTATATACAGAGGTTGTCTAGCCTTATCTAGTCTATAACTTGGTGCTTGATATTTGTATGGGTGTGATGGAAGGGGGGGGATTTGTGGGTATGACATGCATAGCGAGCTCGTTGGTTGTTGGTCGGTTCGTGTGATGGCAAGGTATGTATCCTATGATACTTAACGTCTAGTATTCGAAGGTTGTGCTCGGTCGGTACCTTCACGCCCCTGTGATTCCCTTCCTCACTTTCCACCAACTTCCCCTCCTCCGAGATTTCGCTCGTACTCCCTCAACACACCACCCATGTCAGCCCCCCCTCCCTCTCTATCCTCTATCCATGCTGTGATGGTTCACACTAGGTTAGAGTGAAAAACACTAACGCTAATGCCCTGTCGAGAGCCTCCCCTTCCTACCATCACATGGTCCATCATAGGATCCCTCCCTCCCTCCCTCCCTCCCACCAATTAAGAAGAAAAATAAATTATCGGGAGCGATTAGTTGCGCAAAAACGTGGTTTTCCCTCCTGTCTCACCCCATCTAGGCACAAGGGCTCATGAACCGGGTATCAAGTTAGTTCCGATTTTTCCTCAAAAAAGTAAGTCCAAGAATGATGCCATCTCACCTGTCGGCCTTTGTGCTCTCGGATGTATTCCTTTTCACTTCTGTTTCCCCGCAATTCTTCTGATCTTGGAATAGTTTCGACAGCCTGTAGTGATACCTGGACAATCGATCTCTCAGGGTAGTGGAAGAGGGTGACTGAGATATCACTACTATGGTTAGCTCTGGCGTGGGAGTGGAAGGTAAGGAAGAGGGTGGATGCACACTTGCACAATCAAGATGAAATCACTCCCCTTCAGAGAAAACCCTCATCCCATCCAAGCTTTCTCTCACAAGCCCAACGTGAATGCCCCAGGAATCCCCTATCCCACAGGCCAAATGCACATACCGGTACTCGAACGAAAGGTAAAATGCTAATAATCCTATCCCCCACCTCTAAAGTGAAGTGACGAAGCTCGTAAGACACGCGCACGCACGCGCACACAAAAGAAAGAAAGAAAGAAAGAAAACCCCAATAGCTCCCTTCCGAAAAAGCAAGAGAAAAACGATTCAGACCTCCAACCCACCAAGAAGCCGCCTATCACGCCTGCGGGTCCCTCAAGCTCAAGAGTTGGGGGATAGGATTAATAAACCAATTGCTGCAGACGTATTTCTCTCCTAACATGTAAAAGTCGAATATGCGCGCAAGCCAAAAACTCTATTAATCCCACCCCCCAATCCTCATGCCTAAAGGGCCCGCAGATGCGATACGCGGCTTGCCCGGGGGGAAGAGGAAGGGGAGGGAAAAGGTGATCTTGCTCGGGGGGGGGGGAGGGGAAGGTAGTGGAGGTGCCCTCGGGCTCCTTCTTTCTTTGACGTTTTGTTGTGTCCCAGTAGGTCTTTGGGGCTTCGTGATGAGCTAGAGGGGAACGAGGGGGGGGGATATCTGGCCCTTTTTATAACCGGCCTCCCGAGTGTAATAACCCCCAGCACAATAGGGAAAACTACCGGCTCACCAAAGGAAATCCTATGGCCAAGGAAAAAGTGAAGGAAATGTTGCGCAAATGCAAGTCTTCATTTTCGAGGTGTGGTATTTCTCCTCCTTTTCTATGGCTCCCCCGGCTTAACCAATTTCGAATCCGCTGGCATTCGATCCAAATCTCTCAGCAGGCTTGACCAAATCTACTCGCATGCTAGGCGTAATGGAAAAAACACCCCCGCCATTTAGCGGGCCGTTGGGAAGTTGAAGCGGGTCCTATCTACAGGAAATATACTTATCCTGAAGCTAGACTGTTAGCACACATCTATTTGTTCCGTTGACGGTGTAAGCGCCCGCGTTAGTTGGATGGAGGTTCCGCGCCAACCGCGGGTATTTCGTTTTCTGCTCACTTGCGCGCTATGGTGCTTGACTTATTCAGGGCTTCTTCTACCTGAGTGGCCGGAGTGCCGAAGCTTGGAGAGTACAGCCGCGTCCATAGGGTTCTCCTACCCTCTTATGCCTCAAAATCAACACATATTAACAACAGAACAGCAGGGCCCTTTTAGGTAACTCTTTTCGGATCGGCATCTAGGGGCATTGTAGACTTTTATCACAATTCGTTTTGCTGAATGATTGAACGAGAGCGCTAGTGAAGCCTTTCCAAGCGCTAATGGTGCCTGTGAAGGTACAGGGACCTCGCGGACGCGGCTGTAACATTTCGGTGAAGAATTAGTGCCTCTAGTTTACTCGGAGTAGGAACCTTTGGCCGCTAAACTCAGTTGAGCAGAAATCACAATCGAGTGATCAGCTGTGTTTTGGTAGCTCCGGAACACAACCTATATCACAGGGGTCGTTTTGTTCACGAAAATGCAGGATGTAAGCCAAACCAGAGCTTAAATCGCTATATCTCCCGCACCTGAGAAGGGTTCGGCAACTCAAATATGACGGCTCAAAAAAAAAAAAATTCTGCTAGCACCTTGTTCCTCCAGTTGAAATAGGCGAAGCCTAAAGAAAATTTTAGCCGCAGACGCTAATAATTAGGCGCTTGCTACTACCCTTTTAGGTACAGCGTGGGTATAAATTCTCGTACCTAGCCATGGGCTTGCATAACAGTTAGGATTCTACTGGAAATGCAGATTTACAGCGCCAGTAATTCCTGCATATAGGAGGTGGATCTTGCATTGA